AAATCTAGCGTTCTATTCACTGGAGCCAAATAACCTGATGTCAGGAATTTATATAAGCAAGTTATTAAATACGCATCGTACATGCTGGTATCTACTTAACCTTAACCTATGATATAATGGTTTGTTTCCATAGAACAACTTAAACCGAACTCACCGAACATTTACTTTAGCACAAATGAACCTTTAGATATATTATGTCTATTTGATTAGACGTTTTATTAAAACTTTTGAACTTTAGGTTATTATTATTATTACTCACGCATACCAAGTTTAACATACAATATTAAATAACTTTGAGTAATCATTGTTTAAAATAAGGAGGCTCTTATAGGTGTATAAAATAAGGATTTTTTTGTTTCTTGTTTTCTGAAACACGTTAAAGTACTTGGTACTAACTTAAATCAAATACACTCTTTTGAATATTTAATATAATAAAATATATTATATGATTTATGTAGGTCTGATCGAGAAGTCACACATCAATCATTTTTATACTGTCATGTGTACATAATTAAGGGTTATATTTCATACCTATCTCGTATTCATGATTGATTGTATTACAATACCAAAAGAAGATCATACTATATCACTACCTTAACGCCGTTAATCAAGTAGACGGATTTCCTCTGACAGCTACCTTAACCGTCTGATGGGCGCTACAAAAGCCATACCCACCAATGCAGGAGTTACACGTTGTTGACGTCAAACTCCTGCATAGGTCTATCAATGTTGACGAGTTTGGCCACCATAGCCGGTTGGTTATCCTGACACCCAGCACTCAACGTCATTCTTTAAGTCTAGTGCCAAAACACTAGCTAGCGAACGCACAGGAATGTGTCACAACGACGGCAATTGTACAACAAGCTGTGCACGGCCGATAACTGGTGTGGAATGCGACCTATGTAGATACTGTATCCCCACTCATTTCCGCACAATATGAGTGGTGTAGACTACGCCAGAGCAGTCAAGAACAGCAAAATCTCAAATACGTATCTACATCAAAAACAGGCAATGTTTTTCAAGGGCATTTTTATATTCAGCTATTTTAGTGTATTATTTCCTATGTTTCGTGCCGTACGACTGACATCAAGCAGCATATTGGGTTACCTATCAGAAGTCCGAAGTGATATTTTCCAAAAATATCGTTTGCTTGAATTTTCATAACCTCGAAAGCAATATTAAGAGGAAAATGTTTTTTTCTTTTAAACCTAACTTAACCTAAACTAACCGAACCTAATCGTGTCTTTGCGATAAACATCCAACATATCGTGAAAGAACGACGGTCTCGTTATAATTCCGTTTTCGGAATAATGAAAATTCGTTCAAACGTTATTTCGGAAAATATAAATTCGACTTTGTGATAGGTTACCAGCATAATGTATGTTTGCAGCCTATATTCGAAGCCTTTTCTGAGACGAGAATGCTCATTTTTTACGGAAACCACTGATCAGTATGATTTATATATAAATAAGCCATTTAGTGGAGTTCGGGCCGGCGTATACAGCGTGTTATGATGCTCCATACTTATTTGATAGTAATTATTTAGTAATCGGATGTCGGACGGAGGATGAGAGTCCAATCCAGCTTTTCATTATTTCATATATATCTATATCTATATGTCTATATCTATATGTCACAAATTTTCCATGGCACCCGCGACACAGGGTTTCCCTAGTGCGGGGCTATGTTGAGTGTGTGCGTTATTATTATTATTACAAATATATCTAAAAAAGTTCACGGTTGTACAGTAATTTATGAAAAATTATACAAATATAAATACAAGTTTCTATTCTACAAGTGAATGGCTGAAACATTCACTTGTAGAATAGAAACTTGTATTAATAACCTTGTTATAAATCTTGGCGAAACTAACATTATGAACAAGGAAACAATAAACCCTTGCAAATTGGAGTGGAAAGCAGAGACGTAGTTGAAACTGACTATATATTTTTAAGCTTATAGACAGATAACAATCTAATATAGCAAAATACAGCTAAAATACGTATATTAGTATTATTTGGGCTATAAACTTAAACGTTGACTACCTAGCATGGTTATGTAGCAACCAACCTTAGGAATGGAATATTTTTTGAGGAAATGTACCTACCGTGCTTCCTCACATATTTGAAATTTACCTTTTGCAAATCGTTATCCTAATTTTTTCTTTCTGATGAACTGCAAACTAGACTTTGTAAACTGCTCTACGTCAAGAGAGTGCAATTGTTAAGACTTCGAAACTGTGCATCATACTCCACGCATAATTAGGAAAATGCAATTATTGTGTAGGTACAATTGAAGTAATTATTATTTTAGAAATTACCTCATTGATATGATATTCTACAATAAAGAATTGTTGTTGTGTATTATTATTATTACGTTTTTTGTTGTTGTAACTAATTGGACTGCATAGATATTGTGTGTTTACAAATATCATGAAAACTTTATAACCCGCGAGTGCCCGCCTCGCGTGACTCAAAATCCATTATTGTAACGTCTTTATAAAAATTATACGTAACTGGTTTCATTGCGTCTTACGGTAAGCTATATGCCTGTCAATAACAATTGCAGTGCCAGTCAGAGCTTTAAATCGCAAAGACATAAGTTGACACGTCCCGTGTGCCTGTAATTTCACAAGCACCCTTACCCGCAAAAACCGGAACGCAGTAATGCTGACATTACGGATTGGCGACAGAAATAGGTAAGGCGACAGTACTTCCCTGGACGAACTATTTCATAACGAGCTCCTCTGCTACTTGATTTCTTGTCGCCGTCGGATTAAATATCCTCAGCGTAAGTATTTTGACTTTTTGTAAGTCTTCATATTAATGATGAATAGACAGAATAGACCTAATGTTTCAATTTAGAGTTTTAATTAGTACTATATATTATTATTATAATACTTAGGTCCATTCATCATTGACATCCCGTTGTAACCCCATTTTAAAAGCAGTTTTATAAAACCGAAACAGTTTTAAGTTCGCAGATGTTACATGATTTTACCTTACTTACAAGGGGTGCAAAAAATACATCCTTTTTAATAACAAAGCACCTAAGAATATACTGCCGTCTGCTCACTACAACGCAGCTAAGTGACAAAATATTTTTTTGAGATATAAAAAAAAACATAACCCAGTTTTAGAATATTGAAATTGTTTAATGATATTTCAACTATACATCGTTAAAGTATGTTCCGATAAGTCGCACGCGTTAACTAATTTTCACTATTTTTAAAAGAGAATTTTGTGCTCTGTCTTATGCTATTTAAAACGCATATTTGACCATTTGTCACGTTTTAGTTTTTAGTTAGTGGACGGCATTATAGGTAAACAGTAGATTATGAGATATTGAACTGAAAACAATACAACAAGTGCATCAAAAGATCCCCACAAAACAAGATCACGGTTTGGTGTGCCATTTCCGACGAAGGAAACATTGATAAATTTTTTGCGGTGGTCAATTTTTTATACCAGACTTGTATCGGTTATGATCGTTACTGTTACCGTTATCCGACAGTATAGCGCTCTTTGGTGACATCAACTTGTCTCCAATACCATCAGATCTTACTTCATGCGGTTATTTCCTGTGCCATTGCTGCAAACCTCACCGTGACGACTCACCGTCACATGTAAGTAAAACATATGAAAATATCGAACGCGAAATCTAGCTTTTAGTTCAGAGCTCTATAAGCGAGTTTTTGTTAATATGAGGTTTAGATTCCAAGAGTGCATCCTGCTAAACGAACGGCCTAATAATAAATAAATAAATAACTTTGATTTCATTGCCGATTTTATAAAGAGTCGCTGCCGCAGACACCTTGTCCCATTTTTTAAGTTAGAGTTTAAGAGAGTCACCGCACTTATCGACATGGAATCATATGAAGCCAAGCAAAAACGACGTTGTGCGAATCTGGGGGTCTACTCTAGATCCCCGTCCGACATCCGTCCGAAACAATTATTGCCAAATAAGCAATACTTGACCAAATGAAAAGTCGTATGATGCGAATGAAGCTTCATTCTTGATACTTATCTTTTAATTTTGTCGAATATTACTTATTTGACAGTAATTGTTTCGGACGGATGTCTGACGCAGATCGAGAGTAGACCCCCTGCTTCCTGCGGTTTTTGGGTCGCGTCCGCACACAATCAACGACAGCGGGTCGGCGGCATCCACACCCGAACAGCCGTGTCGACTCCTGATCGTAGCGCCCGAATGACCATATCGACGTCCGAACGTCCGCTCTGAAGTCGGAATGGCCACGTCGATGGCCGAAGCACTCCAAAGATGCGAAGACCAGATGTTATATCCCCTACGCTACGCAACGGCTCAACAGCGACTCATACGCTCGAACGGCTGCGTTGTTGCCCAAAACCGCGTTTAGGCCTACGGCCGCTAAACCGCTAAAACATGCTAGAACATCTGCATTGCCGTCAGAACGCCCGCGTCGACGCCCGAACGGTCGCATCGACGCTAGAACGACTGCTTAATTATTTCTGCACGCATAATCAAAGCATAGATATAGAACACAGTGGATTTGGCCGGCCAAGGAGTGATTAGGCCTTAAACAGTGCAACTGTGAATAGTTTCAATTTCCAGCATTAGGTTGCGTGATGCGCGAATATACACAAACATACACAGAATGTGAAATACTTATGGCAAACCATCTTTTAAAATTCATACATAGTTGCACAATTTTTACGGTTGGAACCACACAAAATCCATCAGCAGAAGGTGTAGATATTCGAATAAAATTCAAATAAACTAGTATAAACCAACCTTACCAATACTGCCAGCTACAACAAAAAAGTTTAAATTCGACACTAAATCACAAAATTATTAATTTTCAACATTTAGCTCCAGAAACAAAACATACAACTGCAGAATATTCTGTGTAATAAACGTTTTCTTTCGTTAGGCTCTTAACTCGTATAACTGGTCTCAAAATAAGCTGTAGCTTAGAGGCTCATCTCTCAGATAGTATATAAGCTCGGAGGCTTCGCCGGCGCGACACTTGCCGCTCTTCCCCAGTCCGTTAACGCACCGGACTTCAACATGCACACGCTTTTGGTACGTCATTTTTTTTTATTTAGAAATTATAAACACCCCTTCAATAGCAAAAGCTTTAAAATTTGACTTAAAGTAGCAAAAGCTTTACTATGTTTCTTTTCTTAATATGAAAAATGGCCCAAGGCACTATTTTCAAAAAACAATTTCGATAGATTGCAAATATCTTCAAATGTTCACTTAAACCCTTGCCTTGCCTAAACTGAGTAAACCTAAACAGTGTAACTGTGATGATGAAAAAACACTTTTACGATCATTATTGTTCATTCATGACACGCCTGCGTTATTTTTTTTATTTGTGCGGTTTAACCAAGGCCTAGTGGCCACTTCATAAATTAGAAGTGTAGTGTTAATACCGCGTGTTTATGTGTACAAATTATTAAGCCCATCTTAGATACGTCATAGAGATCGACTATTAAACAAAAAAAATCGGTTTTAATGGGTCTAATTTGGTACTATATTTTCTGCTTACCTTTCTTCTTGACTTACGAAAAGACTTTGAAATAACTCTCTAACGTCTGTGATTAGAATTGTAAAAATTTATTCTTAGATATAATACAATTTATCGCAATTTTCGTTGTAGTGTAAATTTATAGATTGAATATTTAATCAGCTCTGCGAATATTTTATTGGTTGTATTTTCGTTTGGTTTGAAGGTATCTTTTTATTATGTTGACGAATTTATTTCTATATTTATAAACAACCCGACGTCATGACATTATTATTGAATTTTTATAGCATGATATCACGATCCAACTTTTGTGATTTGAAACCTAATATTTATGTGGTCTGTGTATGAAACTATCAGGTTACACCCCGTAGAGTGTCTTCGCGTTTAAACATGAGAGATATAAAGGTATATTTACTAAAGGCGTATAATAAATTGATTTTGATGCCCAAGATTAGTCCTTTAAATTATGACGCCAACGTCAACGCCAAGAAAGAGACGTTGCAAATGTTTAGGACAGAATTTAAGCCTAGCCAATATTTGATATAAACAATGTTATTTCGTTAATGTATAAAGTCCTATTGTACCCATGTAACATCCATTCAGTTATGACTGTTATTTAATAGTTAAGCCTTAACGTACACTTATACAATTACAAAATATTGTGCGATACCAATTATAAGGACCTTGACTTTCGTGACCTCTCCCTGTGTTGCCGGAAAAGCTATAAATTAACGTAACCGAAAACGTCTGCTGCTATAATATATAATAAAAAGTAAATTAATTATTATTTTTTATCACAAACAATAGGAAATCTCTTTTTAATTCTATGTGAATTTGACATGGGCCGTAAATTGCTTTTTTTTATTGCACCTTAAATTATGAAAAGCACTCCTAAAAATAATCGATTTATAATTTTGTAAAATTACCATTTTATCCCGTTATATTCAACCATCTTAAATTTGTTTGGTCTCTACTGATTTTCGGTACCTAGTCCAGAGCAGTTAAATAAATAGATTGTTTTACTATTAACCCAACCATGTCAAGGTGCAGATCTTGGCTGAACTACGTAATGCACCACTTCACGTCATTCTTGATCTGAAAACCTTAAACAGACTTAACGATGTCGTCCGTCCAGACCGTCCTACATTCCGTGGCCTTTTTCGAATCCTTTACGGTTCAATTGACTGTGGAGGTCTTTATTTAATTACAGGGATCTAGACTATCATATCATAACATATAACAACATACAGCTGTGAGTTTTACGATACTTATATAATAATCGTATTGTTGTTTTTGTGGGTGGAAATGAGCAAATCGGACTTTACACGCTTATTGTAGTTACACGTTACACACAAAATTTGGATCAATTCGGTATCAATAGACTTCGGAATAATATCTGAATTTCATTATAAAAGTGCAGCAGTTACAGGAACTCCTTTCAATGTCCTCTTTGAAGTTAAAACTACTTACATTACAAGTAAACGTACGTCAATTAGGCATGTTTACAACATTTTAATTTTAGAACAAGAACAAAAACAAAGAGAAGCGACTTTTGAGAGTACCAACTATTATTATTAGTAATCGTAGTTATGTGTTAATCTCAAAATAGGATAATAATAGAAATCAAAATGTCATAATGTAACTATATTTTAAATTAGACAAAAACTCTTAAACATTAGGTAAATAAGCAGAGTTGTCAAATATTATAACATCAGCCCGTTTTACATTTATGTTACTTGTTTTATCAGTTTTATCATGACGTCGTTTCGAACTGTTTTCCATTTGACCTACAGTTTAGAGGTAGAAACAGATATTATAGAGCCTTTAAATATTCATCAAGCAATATCCGGGTAAGCGATATCCTTTAACAAGACATATTTATTGTGTTTAAATTGGTTAAACATATTAAAACAAAAGGCCACAAATTAAGTATATTTTTTTTTATTTCAAAATCTTTCACGCTTACACATTGACTTACGTCAATGCGCTTACAATATAGATATTATAAATTTTAATTACTTGGCAAAACGTATTTTATTCAAATTTTTAAAATTTTATTTACTGATAACTTACGTGTGTTGTGCAACGCGTTGTATTGCAACAATGAGTTATTTAAAGCAAAATGTAATTAATTTTACGTCTCTTGATAAATTTTGTTAACATTGAAACAAGATTCTGATTGATTTACTCCGAAAGGGCCCATATTAATGACTAGCAATATTATTCGAATGTGTTTTATGCCTGTAGAGAACTGAATTTGTGGTCAACGCCGCTGTTTAACGTTTATTAATAGCCGAACAAAGTTTTGTAACATTTAAAAACACCAATATTAAGCCTAATTCTAATGTATGTCTCTAATATTCAAATTTTAATATCATTGGTTTATTTTAGTATCATTGTATATGATTATTATATATATTATTATCCGTTTCTTAAACTTGAGATTACTTAAACTCTTTTTTCATCCTCTTAAAAGATCTCGTGTCTCTTCGAAATTAGGTTCTCTACAAAATCTTAAAGGCGTTAAAATAGGCAGAGTCGTAGCCACAATAGACTCAAAAAAAAATTTTTCAAGTGCGCTATTATTTTTGGTATTTCTAAAGTTTCGGGCAATGCGGAAGCACGGAAAGTTCAAGTTCATTGCACTCACTACTGACCCAAAGCCTAAGCCGTTAAGTTGCGCAATGCTTTGGAACTTCGGAGACCGACAAATCGCCCACCACCGAATGTATACCGCGTGGGACTTTTCGACGACCTTGCCCCTGCACTTTCTATTCATTGCCTGACAATTGTGATTAATGCGACGTACATACTTATCACAAGAGTATACAAACATTTTTTTATTATTATTAAATAAAATATAGTTTTAGATTAAGTTAATCTACCTGCATTAATTATAAAGTGGGTATGTTCCTTAAATAAGTCAATTGATGTTGTTACCTTGTGAAATATTTCTTTCATGTTTTATTCAACTATAACATCGAAAAGAAGCCATCACAATATAATCCACAAATATTAAGTAGATATTATAGGTATTAGAGTTGCATCACATCTCAACTAGGTAGATCTTATTTCTCTTGAGAACACGTTCAAGTATTGCAACACTTCGTGGTACTAGCGGTCAACGCTCTGACCGGCCTTCTCTACTCGTAACTAGACTACAATTAATGTTCATGGAACTCTAAAATAATAATTATCATTTCTTTGACGATTTTTTACAGATAATCACTTTAACACTGAGCGTGGCCCATGCGGATATCGGTTTAAAGCTTCGCCAGCAACAGCAACAGCAAGGGTATAACTACCAAGTACCACAAACATCTTACGGAGTACCCTCCTACCAAGTTGGCAGTAATGCTGGGGATTATAATTCTGGATACGCAGGAACTGGCCTAAATGCCTTCAATTATGTTCAGGGTTCAAACCAAGGTCCTGGTTTTGGTCAGAATACTGGATTTCAGTCAACAAAGGGAGTCACAGGTGGTCAATACTATCCGTTCTCCGTCTCACAATCTAACTTCCAGGTGTCGGGCGGCACTCAAGGTGCATCGCAATCTTATAACCAGTTGCAAACTTCAAATAAATATCAGTCATCGGCCGTTCAAAAATATCAGGAACATTATAACCAAGTACAGCAACCACCTCCACAGATTTTCAAACATTTTTACATCCACGCTGCTCCAGAAGAGCCAGAAGTGGCAAGACCCCGACAACCTATAACATTACCACCTCCCCAAAAGCACTACAAAATCATTTTCATTAAAACACCAAGTCAACCAGCGTACGTTCCTCAACAAATCCCACTTCCTCCACAAAACGAAGAAAAAACAATTGTTTACGTTCTTGTTGAGAAACCAGAGGAGCAACAAGATATTATAATTCCAAAAGCAGAACCTAAACCTCCGTCTAAACCCGAGGTATTCTTCATAAAATATAAGAGCAAAGAGGATTCTCAAGCTGTGATCAACAATATTGTTACTGATTACAACAATAAAGGCGACTCCGTGAGTGTCGGCGACTTTGTATCTAATAGTGCTGGTGTTACTGGGGGCTCTAGTCAGTATACACAAGCTTCTGGAGCTGGCCAATACACACAGGCAGGCGGTTCTAGTGACTCCGGATTCTCTCAACCTGGAACAACTGGACAATATAGCCAGCCCGCGGGTGGTTCTTTTGGCCAATCTTATAGCCAGTCAGTCGGATCCTCATCCTTTGGAATAGGTAAAGCTGGTAGTCAGACTTTAAGCGTGGAAACAACGGATTCTAACGTTGCAGTTGAAGACAGTGGCATTTCAACCGGATTATCCTCGGCGGCTGTTAGTACCGCATCTAACTTCGATGGTGGCAATCTTATCTCTACTAGTCAGGGTGTACCCCACGAAACATACGGAACTCCAACGTTCAGAGTGAAAGCTTAATAGTACCTTTTTATGATAACACCTATTTATAAAAGATAAATCACAATACCTACCTACTTCAATAGAGTTCGTTTTACAAATCAATATGATTAATTATGAAATATAAATTAACATTACTAAATTAGAACATTTTTCAATTTCCTTTTTGTACATTAATTACATAAGTTAAATGGTGTGCTTATAAGTGTAACAAAAATGAGGAAACACATTTCAGCTGGTGCATGGTGATCGTATATATTTGTGTATCATCCATCATACATTATGTAGGTATGTACATATTAAGTGACGGAACGAACAAGTATTTCGCCTGGTGGTAAACGATATGCCAATTAATAACAGTAGCAGTGCTACTCAGACTTAAAATCGCAAAGATCTGAGGAGCGCTCACTCCCAGTGCACCCGTTACACTGAGACATAAGTTGTCACAAGTTGTGAGACACAAGTCCCATGTGCCTGCAATTTCACCAACACCCTTACCGTGGCTGTACTTGCCTAGACGAACTATTTCACAAAGAGCTATACTGCTACTAAATATAAGTAAAAAAATCTGAACAGATTGTGTACGTAATATGATTTTAATTGCGTAGGCTTTTTTATTATTCTTTAATAAGTAATTTATTACAGTAATTATGTACCATTTATTGAGATTTTATTAAATAAATTATTATTGCAAACGTAAGTATTAATTCATAGTTTTCCCACTGTAGTGTACTGTGGCTGCACTTCCCTGGACGCACTCTTTTACGACACGCTTCCGTGCTTATTGTTTGCTAATTAAAGTTTTTAACCGACTTCAAATCCCAGCACCGTATTTTCTTATGGATATGTTACGCGATTACTCTTTTTCGTGACTTGATTTTAATGATTCTTTTTTGTTGGAAAGAGTGTGCCTCATTATTGATCCCATTTAAATTTTAAGAAAATAGTCCACCTTTAAGGGTGGCAAACTAGGGTGTGAATCCAGTTTGGCGAACTTTCCGGTAACCGCTTTCAATAAAACTTGTCAAATAGATGTATTTCCACGAACTTTTGAGTCCAGTTTTAAAAAAAAAAAAGTTATCAATATTTTTTGTAGCTTATAACTTGTAACATGTAGCTGTATCTTTCAGAAGATACAATCACTAGCTAAAACATGTTCGAACGTTTATACACCCTGTGTGTAGAATCAGTTTCAATCAAGGCTGTCCTATCATTAAAATAAACAACTTTTGTTTCAACACTTAAAATTGCTGGTACTGGTGAAATTACAGGCACATGGGACTTATGTCTCAGGGTGAACGGCACAGTGGTAGTGCCCCTCAGATCTTTGCAATTTAAAGCTCTGAGTGGCACTGTAACTGTCATGGAAAGGCGTGTAGCTTTCCGTCACGCGCAAGACTTGTTCGTCCCGTGATTTGAAGTTATAAAAAAAAAATCAGACCACAATTTTTCAAATTGACAAATCTCCAAACTCGCATCCGTACGTATTAAACAAAAAATGTGCTTCACCCACTTCTTTAGAAATCACTAGGTCAGGCTCTTGTTCATTTTATATTATTTAAGGAAGTCACCACACTTATTAACGCGGAAAAAGAAAAACCTTTATGTCCAAGCAATAAGAACGAAAAAAACATTGCGTGGCTCTGTCATAGGGATGAGGTAAATTCAACAGATTTTTTTTTGACAGTTATACCTTTATTTTTCTGACGTATTCTGAACGATGTATAGTGTGATGTATAGATGTACAGATGTGGCATGTTTTGCATTATACTGAAGGCATAAAATACACAACTGTAATGCAATTGCAATTTTTAATCGGTATTTTAGAAAATTTCAAAAAGAATGAATATTAGAGATGACGTATATCGAAATTTTTTATCGATATACCTCATCTCTAACAAATGCAGAGTAATGAAGTAACATTTACCCGTGGTCGTAAAAAAATTATTATTATTATTATATATAAGTAAAATAAACAGTGAAGTTGGTCAATTTAGTTTACACTTTTTGTTATAATATAACATAAACATGTAAGTACTCTAGAGAGAATAAAAAAAACCGACCTCAAAAGTACATGGAATTACATCTAGGTATTTGCCAAGTTTTATTGAAATCGGTTACCGGAAAGTGCGCAAACCCGGATTCATCCCCTAGTTCGCCACTATATGGAACTTGACACAGGAGATAATAAAAATCGATTCTCACTACTCAAAGTATATTGAGAGAGAAAAACGCCTTGAATTGGAGAGTAGCAAAATCAACCATTAAAATAATTGCTCCTTATAATAAAATTCAGGTGTGTAACAAAATCACATAACAGGCAAAAACTCATATTAGTTACCGCACCGCTAGATTGCGCATTGGCGTCGAAATAGCAAAGTCTGCATCGCGGTGTTAAGATTTTCCCTCGCGGACCGACTACTGGCGGCGATGCGAACATGAATGAACGAATCCAACGCACTACGCATCTAGCTCTGCTTCCTTGTTTGGAACTACACATTAGATCGTTACTGTTGAACCTACTGAACTAGTATTCGGTAGAACATGAAATTAAAATGAGTTTGAGGGAGTACCTCATTTGGAAAAAGCGAGGCGGTACAATGTCCTACTTCAAATAAGGTGAGGTAGTCATTGACTTACAAATAAATGGACGACGGGTCTAATACAAAAACCACGAAAAAAATGTCCCAAGTCAACCTATTCGAAATTTAAATTGTAATGTCATCGCAGTATCGCGCTGTCAGTCGAACAAATGAAGACTAAAGCGGAGTTTGGCACTCTGTATACGATTTTAGCGCCTTACAAGTGCGGACACTTTTTAGCGCGGACCCGACGTCCATATTATTATAATTGTAAGTCAATGGAGGTAGTGGTAAGAATATTTGCACCTACAATACGGCAATGACGCAACAGACGGGGAAAATTAAGCACATTTTCATAACTTAATGGTATCAATCAATTGGATAACTTAAGTGATATGATATAGTATGAATAAATGCTAATTTTATTTAGTACTATTGGATGTAAAATCAGCTAATAAGCGGGCAGTGCAGTGTGACATGAGTGAGGCTAAGTCACCTCATGAGGTGAGGTGAGACATTTGTTTGATGCCACATTCGTTTCACGTTACACAAACAAAGCAGACATTGCAATAGAAATGTATCGAAATACCTGATTCGAAAATCGAAATGTCTGAAATACTTATCATACTAAGTATATTTGTTTATATCTACGGATTCCAGAACAGTCCGTAGGTATCTCATGTTCTTGAAACAGTGTTCATGATATAAAATATATTGTACAAATATGTAGAGCTATATTTAGATAATTTGGCATTCAATTCTCTAAATAACGATAGCAAGTTACGCACAAACAGCTCCTAGTTGATTATTTATTTAATATTTAGTATCGAAACGGGCTCAATGCAATGCGAAGTTGGCATATTATTGGTATTTTAATAACAGATCCATCCGCATAACTCTACGACGTTATCTTTGATTTATCGCGATACGTGCTTTTAGTTGTGCGGACCGAATATCATGTTCTCCGAGTGGTTAATTTAGTTGGTAATGTGGGCCGATAGTATTTCATTCATGATGTGCATTGTTTATGAATGGAATGCCTCTATTTCGGGGTAGTGGCGCGTGATGGTACAATGTTGAGCATTACGAGGCCTCATTGACCAAGTGGATATTTCACGGGCGCATTTACATAGAGCTCGTGAGAAATGCCTCTTAAAGTGTTATGCACTTCCATTTTGCCTAGTCATAGCTCTTGTTGCTGGTAGACCTACCGCCTAAATGACACTCTAATCGCTGGGATCTAAGTATGTCTTTGAGTGAGCGAACTCGTCTTTGCCTCCGTCAGGGTCTAGCTTAAACGAAAAAAGGAGGAAAACAGTTGTAAAGTAAACACAAGTCATTTTACTATTGATGTGTGATGTAAATCACGTAGGTATGTAACAAGACTAACGAGTTGTGAGCCTGGTAGTAGATGTCCAAATAAGTTGCAGTGCTTCTCTCAGAGTTTTAAATCGCAAAGATCTGAAGGGTACTGCCACTGCGCCCGTCACACTGAGACATAAGTTGACAAGTCCTATATGCCTATAATTTCACCAAATATATAATGCTAGGTACTGTAAATTTTGTGTGTTCTTTCCTCAGTACCCTTGTTATTAATATTTGTCACAAAAAAAATTAAAAGCGTTTTTTATCAATTTGAGTACAAAGCTTTGCACGAAATTGTATGAAATCAGTTCAAGAAATTCTTTCATACTGTTAGTATGTGCGCTTGCTTTTGTCATGGTAATATTACTTAGTATTATTAATTTCTAGACTGTTATTTTACAAAGCAACCTGACAAACTATACGGGTCTACTCGAAAGATCCAGTAGATTCATTCGGCTTCTTGAGTTATTTGAGATGAAAAATAAATCGGAATATAATCTTGGCCAATTTACATTTAAATTACTTACCGATAAGCATTGCACTTTTATTACCTACTCGTAAAACAACAATGTAAAAAAAATATAAATCATCGACAAACAATCCCTGCATCTTCATAAATGATTTGAAATGTATATCAAATGTGTTCTCGGGTTCCTGATTTTGTTACAAGTACGGGTTGGGCTAGGTATATCTAAAACCACAATTGTTTATTTAAGGTGTTGTAATTGTAATCCTCAGCCCAATGATTGCTGTGTCGGTACTTTGATTTTGCCTACTATAGTAATTACCACAGCTTTCTGCGCTGATAACTGCGAATATGCGATAATAGGTAAATATAGGAATATTTCGGTTGTTAAGAGATACAGCCATCAACATTACAAAAACTATTTGATGGAAGATCTGAGACACAAAATTCAACGGAACGACGTTGGCTTGTTAGGCCTCGACAGCTACGGTGATCCATCTGCGCCTTACCTTAGACTAAGTGCCGTTGTTATCGAAGCTATCTACGGACTTACCGCACTAGTTCCTGTCATTGACAATATGAGACCAAGACTAGTAAAAACAATAGTACAACGTTGTCGACAGCATTCAAGATATTCGTTGGGGTACGTCATATGTACAGTTAATAAAGTTTTAAGAAAGTCGAACGCACCATGCCAACAACAACAAGGTGTCCCATTATTGGTAGATGGAAAAATAATAGGAGTAACAGGCTTCGTCGAAAAAGCGATGTGTGAAAACGAGCAAAAATATTTCTTAGCTATAGGCCCCTCATTATCTTGGATTCGCTCAATAGTTTCTCCGATTAAACGCCTGAAAAATGTAAAAACTATCCAGAACAATAATAATGGAGTAGTACTTAGAGTGCATGAAGAAACTCCGCCGCAAGAACATTCACAGTCCACTCCTACTTTCGTAACGACCGTAATGCAGAGTTCACCAACAACAACATCAGTCTTGTCACCTAGCATCAATGTCACATTGTTCAAGGCAAACACAACGGTATCAATTATAAATATACCGACTACAGAATCAACAAGTCCTAAAAAAATTTGGTCATCAGATGAAAATGTAAGTGATAACAAGAAGGATACTACATTGAATCCCTTTTACAACTATGGCTTGAAAACCGTTAGAAATGATTCTGAAGCCATGGAGTGGTTCTACAACTACGTCCGCAACGAATTAAACGCCAGTGTTCCCAAATTAATTTTGACGACGCCGGCTTCCGCGAGAGAAGAAAATTTCCCAGATTTAACATAAATATTTTTCGCTTTTAAAATTAAGCCTTTATGTTCAATTTCCACAGTTTTCTGTCTGTTGCAGAGACTAAAAGGAATAAATGTATTCTAAAGAGTGGCGGGCAGTCATGATGTTAATATCCTAACCCAATCATGGACAGCATTGTAATATGTTTTTAATTTCTTACATAAGTAAATAGATTATAGACATGTCGAACATAATATACAAAGTAATGATTTTATTTACAACAGAAAACAATCGTCACATGGAATACTGCTGCTATCTTTGGGCGAGAGCTCCTGGATGCCAGCTTGGGCGCTTTAACGTGGTTCAAAGACGTGCTATGAGAATTGTTGACAATCCTGTGTTTACAGACGATATTGAACCACTGTCTTGGAGGAGAGACTTTGCCTCCCTATATCTGTTCTATCGCTTGTACAATGGCCAATGTTCTGAAGAACTGCTTGACATGATGCCAACAGAAACATTTCATTTTATCATCACACCGCTCGCAACCGACATACCTGGCCATCCTCAGATTCTGGAACCGAGTCGATCTCGTACTGTACTGTTTCTCCCAGTCGAGGTTTTCCCGCAGGAATACAGCATGGAGTCCTTCAAATGGGGTTTCAGAAGAGCGCTAAAGGGTTGGCAACGCGCTCGTGACGCCTCTGGTGTTGCAGGCGTTCATAGGCGACGGTGACCGCTTTCCGTCAGACAGGCCGTATGTTTGTTTGCTGCCTACATTAATATAAAAAAAATATACTCTGCAACGGAAACACGATGGACTCGTGCTTTCTTACCATACCCCCTTTCCAACAAAACAAAAATCGATATCGGTTCACAAATGTCAGAGGAATTGCGTCATACTAAAAAATGCAGTCGAATTGAGAACCTCCTCCTTTTTTTAAGTCGGTTATAAAGTGAGTTACTTTTTGCAGCTTAACCGGTGGCCGAGTCTTTCTTTTTATTTACAATATTTTTAGCAAGCCTTGATCGGGGCTCATTTTGCAAATCACTTTATTGGTTCATACGAGTATTTCAAATGGTGGTTTTTTATGACACTAAGGGTCGTATTCTAGAACTCTACTCAATGCTCAAGTCAGGATTTTAGTATGGTTTAAAGCACTCTAAATCATACTCAAATCCCTGCCATTAGGGTCGTATTTCCAGTGCTTGAAATCATACTCAGATCCTGACTTGAGCATTGAGTAGAGTTCTGGAATACGACCCTAAGTGATGAGACGTACAAGTCGTGCGTCTGAAGGTAAAGGCCACACGCGTGTTCATAACCGTTGCAGTGTGATTTTGAGCTTCAAATAGCAAAGACCTGAAGTGCACTGCCTCAGCGCCCATCACCTTGAGACAACTTGAAAAGCCCCATATGCCTGTAATTTCACCAACACCCTACCCTTCAAAACCGGAACACAGTCTCACATTACTGCTTGGCGGCAGAAATAGCTAAGGTGGCAGTACTTCCCTGGAGGAACTCTTTCTTATGGAGCTCTACTGCTACGAAATATGTATAATGCTTATATGGATTAAGGTCGTTTCGACTAACAGCAAAAACAATCTCCGTGAGGCTGTCTTTGTAGTTGCAAGACCGAGGCGACAGAGACAGACGGACCGGTGCGAGAGAAACGCTTCACAAAGGTGGTGAAGAGGAAGAGGAAGCCCACCAACCGTAACCAGTGTGGCATAGCACCGACAGGACCGAACTTCCTGTTGCGTCCGGCCAGTTGCCGGCCGACGTTGCTGTACCTGTCACGACTGCATAACACCACGAAGTCTGAGGAGATAGTGGAGCACATCAGACATAAAGCTGAATACACCCTGAGGGTCGACCGATTAGAGTCCCGCCACAACGTAAATTGTAATTCATTTGTGGTCAGAATGCCGACCGAACATCTATCGACCTTCATGAAGGAAGAGTTTTGGCCGAAAGGTGTCATGTATCGGCGGCCGCGGCCGGTTACCAAGTACAATTGGTGTATATTAGTTAGAAATAGTGTTATATTATAATGTGTTATTCCTTAAGGTATATATTATATAAGTGTTTTATTGTATTATTATGTATGTTAGTCTATAAGGTATGTATTTATGGGTTTTTGTACCCTGAATACAAATAAATAAAAAATAGCCTTTAATAGCTGGTAAACAGCGACGTACAGAAGACCTCTTGAAAACAGACGTTTTTCACGACAGACTGATTGTATATACGCCCTTAGCTAATCTACTCGTTATTTTTATTATGCTAAGGCGCTAACAATCCTGAAAAATATCGGGAATAGAAAGTTCCCACTAGGATAATTTTGTCTTAAGACAAATTTTCCTTCCGGGAAAGGAATTGGCTTACGACCGAGTAAAATTTGAAATGTAGAGTATGTTATGTACATAAATTTTCAGTGAAATTTCTTCCTTAGATTACTTAGTTTTATATCTATATCTTTATTTACATCATTGACCATCTACCCAATGAAACTGGCGACGACGTAAGAAATTATTTTTTTACGAAAAGATGCCCTGATGTTTTAAGTCTCAAAACCTCATCCCTGGTGTGTCGCTACTCCCTAATGAAATAGAAAAACTAGTTTAAAAGTTGAATTACCAAGCATCAATTAGAAGTTCTCTTAAAGTCAACAAATAAGTCGTTGTGTACAAGAAAATGCATTCAGCCTATTGCTTATTTTACACCCAAGATCATTTAGATACTTTCGCTGCAATTTATTATCAGACCCCAGGAAAAAATGTGACTCCAAAATTATTATTATAAATAAAATATTACAAATAGCACTATTTTCGTACAATTTTGCTATTCCAACTAATCGTAGCACGTCGTGAAGTTCGCATCAACCCGCAAGTGACAACACGGCACACGTTTAATTCGTCAGTGCTGTGCTTCAAAGGGATCAATTATACAACCAGAAATAGAGAAGAAACAAGGGCCATCCATCCCAGCAACTCTTCGGGCAAATGAATCTTATACCACTTTTAAATATCAACTCTCATTTGCGCTGAAATCACAAATTAGAAAGCTGAAATGGTACAGCGCCAACAACTAACCGATGTGTACGTCTCCGTATATGCCACAAATATTCTGTATTCATTGCAACTGTAACGAACAGGCGTGTAGTTTACCACCACTTGTTCGTCCCGTCACTTGATATTATAAAAAAATAAAAATACTTCGTTTTTTACAAACTTATAGTCCCGCACTAGGGAAACCCTATATATATATATATATATGGAGACACATATAGACAACCACACATTACACCTAAACACGAGATAAATAACCACTGAGGCAGTTAAGTTAGTAAGTTGTCGCTTCAGTTAATTCTTTTGTTCCTACAGTAATATTAATAAAGTGATTTATTCAGACTTATAAATTAATATACCCACAACAAATTTAGCATGTTTTCAGCTCAGCTAAAACAAACAAATAAACAATTTTATTGTGAATTATTTCGTTCTATACGTCCCCTGACTATTTATTTCTTAAATTTCTTGACCATTTTTTCTTAAATCGCCATAATTCGCATATTTTGCTTTTTTTTACTGTCCCTCTTAACTATATATTACGAACATCTTTACAAACATGCAAGGCTAATTTACGAACTAAAATAGGGAAAACAATATTTTTTAATTTTGTTAAAATACTTCCATCGTGGTTAGAAATAGATTTATTATGGGTACCTATATACTAAATCTATGTGATTAGCAGTACCCAAATATTTTTTGGCAGCGGCATAGTGTATAAAAAATAGCCACACAGCAAAATGTGCGTATGTCTTGTGTTTGTGAATCAATTTTACTTAGCACATTGCATATTTTCAGACGCATCCAACCAAACACTTTCGCTATCAAACTGCCAAGAAGTATGTTGCGTATAAACCAATTTATTTATGTTCTCGAGAAATATATACCTACCAAAGTTTATTGGTTATAATATAAAAACGAAAAGGGAAGTTTCTTTGTAGGTACTTATTACGATATGAACTATGGGTTTCAATTCGTACACAAATGTAGTCAAACAAATTGATAAAAGTATTCAGTGGATATGTTCGAAACCATTATTATTCTGCTGCTATTACAAAGAGTTGACGTCGGTCTAACTATATCTCCGGATACTATTGCACATTTTAGTTGTTGTAAGTGCGATCCATACCCGAATGATTGTTGCATAGGTTCATTTATATTGCCTTATATCATTATTACATCGGCTTATTGCGCCGAAAACTGTAAAGTGGTGATATTAGGAAACACAACAATTGTTACAATTAAGCGCTTTTACAAGCATTCTTATAACCGGAACTGCGTATTGACAGGCTCGAGGAATATAATAAATCGTAATAATGTAGCTCTAGTACACGTGATAGACGACCCCAAAACCGAGAGACCCCATTTGAAATTGAGTGCTTTGCAAACTGAGGTTTTAGGTGGACGTACAGGTTTCTTTCCTGTATTCGACAACCTAAGGTTGAAACTGATGAGAACCATAGTACAACAGTGCTGCAAAGGCACGTCTATGAGTTCGATGGGATATATTGTATGTACAGTGAACAAATCTTTCAACTTGTCGAATGCTTACCATCACCAACAAGGCATACCACTGCTGATTGAAGGAAAAATAGTCGGTTTATCAGGTTTTGTGGACAAATCGATGTGTATCAACGAACAAAGTTATTTTATGGCCATAGAACCAGCTGTGCTATGGATTCGGTCAGTAATACGAAACCTGACTCGACAAAAAGAGAATAAAAATAAGAATAATACACAGATTGAATTTCTTGTTAAGCAACCTTCGGCTCTTGAGGCTATAAATAAAAATAAGTATAACGACACCGCCACGAAGAATATATTCTTAAACAGCCAACGGGCAAACATTATTAAACCACCGCCAGAGCCACACAACAGATCACAGGAAGCAACCACGACAGTGGTCATACCTAAAACAGAAACTCTTGTAAACGAAGATCAAGACAACACAACCTATACGGAGTTCATTGAACAACAAGCCGCAAATAATTTACTTGAAGCCATAAATTTGTCTCAAATGGAATCGACGAATTTAAGCGACGAAAGCGAATCAGTAGAAATTACATCCTCTACATTTTCTTCTAGTAAAGTTTTGGATTTTTTATCTCAAATTGGTTACCGACCTGATAGCGATAAATACTTTGGGTATTCTTATAGAAAATCGTTTCAAAACGTGTCTTCACAAGTGACACGAAGTTAGTTTTCTAACCCAACAGCATTACATCGAAGAAAGAAAGCAGACGTTAGGAGTTATTTAATTACGAATCTAAAATTAAAAATTATACGTTGGTAAGAAATAAAGCTGCTTTTTCCTTTTCAATAACAATAAGATTTTCAACTGACAAGAATAGATACAATTTCCTCCTTACTTACAAAGCAGGTGCAGTCCACAACACATCAAGCTTGACACTTTGTACTTTGGACCGTTCTTATCGTGAGCGGCATAGAATTGGATTTAAATCTTAAGTGTGAAGCGTGATGTGCACTTGATCCTGTACAAGTGTATCTGCGCTTCCTATGGCGTAGATCACGCGCAGATGTGGGTATTGGGGACAGTCTCTGTAAATACAAGACTATTTGAAATAGACGTATGTTTTTTAATTTAATAGCAGAGTTTCAAAGGCAGAAGACTGCTGAAAACAATATTAGGTTATTCATCCATGTTTTTAGATTAGATATATTTTGTAATTTTTTTACAATAATTTAACTGGTAACAATTATAGTATAAAAGTAACGGGACTTACTCGCGTATTTTATAGTTTTAGTCTTCATCAGGGGTGGAGTAACTGGT